GTGTGTGTGTGTGTGTGTGTGTGTGTGTGTGTGTGTGTGTGCAAAGGAAGCAGGGCTGTGTCAAAAATGCCAAGACAGAAGGAAGGGAAGCTCAGCTAGAAACTAGGGGATGGATGGCAATTGCTCCCACAGCTTTGCCTTCCTTAACCCCCATTGTGGGTCTTCACTTTTCTTCTTAAGCCAGTTCCATTATCAATTTGTGCTGCCCTGCACTCTCAGCTTCTCAGCATGGTGTGGGCATCTCAAGAAGCTAGCCCATGGGAGTTAAGATCTGCTCTTCAGCAGCCACAGTGCCCTAGTTTCTGCTGCTTGTAATTGCAAATTGCAGTAAGAAAGTGGCTAGGGAGCCAGGGACAGAGACAGACAAAAGAGTGGTTCCAACTGGAGGTTGGGCTTCACAGGGGAATATGAGCTAGCAGGTCCGTATCTACCACCCAAGCCAAACGACAGCGTTTATCTCTGCATTGTGGTCTGAGAACTTACTGAAATACAGATTTTTAAGCCACCTTCAGCCTACCTTAGGTAGTGACTCTAGTTAGAAATCCCTTTTAGAGAAAGCCACACAGTAATTTAAGCTTCCCCTCCCAGTAAATAGCCTCTGTAGATGACCATATTAATTAAAATATAGTAGTCAACAATATAAGGGTAAAATCATTCAAACATGAAAGTGTATGCCTACTACAGATTTGCTTACTTATCAACCTGGAGCCACCTGCTGAGAAACTGAAAGTTACAGGCTGTGCCTATTAACTGACCATTTGAATCTCTTGACCACGTGATTGGGCAAGATAAAAATTAAGCTTCTTGGGATTTTCCAAAAATACTGTGCTTTCAATGTGTGACTAGTAAATTAACCTGTACTTTTGGAATATCAATTTGCTTACTAACATTAACTGGAGTATATAATATGCACTCTTTAGAAGAACTGTGATTCAGGTAGATTGTCTCACGTGTACCTAGAACTCTGGTCCCTGTCTTTATCACTCAGAAGTGTCCCATTGCATTCCTCATCTTTGTGTTGAAACTCCTCCCAGATCCTTTCATACAGTGTAATGTTTTAGTCTCTTGCTATGACAAGTAACTTAAGATTGGGAACTTTATAAAGATAAGAGTTTCAAAATGACTTATGATTCCAGAGGTTGAGAAGTCCAACAGGATAACATGAGCACATTTTGACATCTGGTGAGGGTTTTTTGTTACATAAGGATGCAGTGGGAGAGCATCACAAATGAAAGATGGGTGCTTCATCCTCATGGACTCCCAGTATTCTAAGTCTACCCAGTGATCCCAACTTCAAGTAGCATTTGAAGATTTAGTGTTGCCTTGAAAATTTGGCAGATATGCTTAAGCCACAACGTGGAGCTGCAATAGTCTTCCCAGATTTGCATTTTAAAAGAATGAACATAAAAACATAATAATGAAAACTAATATCACCCAGACAGTAGGGAGGGTTTGATGCACATTTGAAGCCCACCTTTTAGGCAATCATTTGAATAGGTGGGGAAATCCTGACACTCAGATACAAAATATATTATTTAATATCAGTTTATAAAGGAGGGGGCATACATCTATTTACTGTTTGCCTAAAAGCACATTCATTTGAAAACAATCAGGAGAAACTTATTTTTAAACATTAAGTGCCATCTTGAGCAGATTAAAATATTTTTATATGTAATATTTTATTAATATTTTGAGAATACCATACAATTTATTTTGGTCACATTCACCCATCATTCTTCTCCCATTATTTCTCCATCTTCCAACTCCTCTTAATCTCTTGTCTTCTTAAAAAAAAAAATTAACTCATGAGGTCCAATTTGTGTTGCCCAGAGTCTTGTAGGTTTGGCACCATCCATTGGTGACAGTTGACCTACCAGTGAGCATACACAGAAAAGAAATCTGACTCAAATACACCCAGAAGCTATAAACTGTCCATATCTAACTAGGTAGGGGCTCATGAGCCCCTCTTCTCATTCCATGCTAGAATGTTGGCTGGCTACATCTTGTGTAGGTCTTGTGCTGGCAACCATAGCTACTGTCAGTTCACGAGAGCAACAGAACTGTCATCTCCAGAGGACATTGTTTTACTCTGCTCCTGTCCAATCTCTGGCTCTTAACACTCTTTTTGTCCCTTCTTCCATGATGGTCCCCAGTCTTGGTGATGGGGATAATATCAATGTCCTGTTTATAGCTGAGCAATCCACAGATAATTAATCTCTGCACTTTAATCAGTTATGATTTTCTATGTTAACCACTATTTATTTCATAAAGAAACTTCTCTGGTGAGGTCAGAAAGTGGCATTTATAATATAGGTAGAAATTTGATATCGTGCCCATTTAGCAACATAATAGTAATAGATTCACTCCTCGGACCTATGAGTTAACCCCACTCAGCCACAGGTTCTTAGCAGGATTTTCAACACCAACCATACATGTTTTATCCTATGGAGTGAGCTTTCAATCCAGTTATAAAGAAATTGGTGACCTCCATAACACTTGTGCCTCTATTATACCTATGGGCATTTCTAGTCAAGCCAGTCATTATTGTGGCTCACAGCTTTACAGCTGGCTGAGATTTTTGATGACTTCTCCCTCCTCTAGCAGCCTGCATAGCACTCCCAGTAATTACCAAAACTGGGAGAGGCTTCCTGGCCAGTAGCAACTTGATTTTCTCATGTTCTGTGACCAAAATGTGTAGTGTTTTCAGTGATTGCTAGTGTCTTACCACCAAGTTCTGATGATCAATCAAGATAAATACCCTCTATTGTTTAGGGTGTCTTCAGGTCAGCTCTGACCAACAGCTCAAAGAGAAACATTCTAGACAGTACGTGAAACTAATCACACAATGTTTCTGAGAGCATGTCTTTTAATTTTCAAAACATAGAGCAGATTAACTCTGTTCTCCTTGATGGTGTCCTTTCCAGTGCATTACTATTTGCTTTTGAAGAGTGTAAGCAGCTCCTTAGCAGATCTTTAAAGAGATTTTTGACTTGCATACCCAGTCATGAAGAAAATTATTCAGTTGTGGAGGATCCCGACTTTTAGGCCAGCTTGGGCTAGAGACTCTCTCTCAAGAAATCACAAGAAAAAAATTTCAACTTGAGGATGTATCCTCTGCTTTGTCTTAATATTAAGATTCTTATGTTGTAGGATTAAATAATATTTGTTTATAAATGACAGAATTTTAATTCAAAAACAGATTTCTTTCTCAGGCTGATGCTTTATGGGCCTTTCTAGTCAAGCTAGTCATTGTTTTGACTCACAGGTTCACAGCTGATCTGAGATTACTCAACGAGTAAGGAGCACGAAGCCCTCAAGGGAAAGCCCCCTGAAGAGTCATAGAATGTTTTTCTCTATATATGTGCCACCCCATGTTTTCAATGGTCAGAATGGCTGTTATTTTCTTGGTATAGTGCCATGCTGGAAGCAATGGGGCTTGAAGGCCATGTTCAGTTTTCTCGACCTCAATGCTAATGGGGGGGAAACGAGCCTTCCAGCCATGATCAATAGGGCTGGCCAGTTAGCCAGGATGCTACCTGACCTTGAGCAAAGTAGCAACATTGCTAGATTTGATGGCATAGGCTTGTATTTCCAGCTACTGAGAGGCTGGCTGAATCAGGAGACTCATAAACTCAAAACCAGCTTGAGCTATTAAATGGGTCTATGATTAGTCTGGGCCCCTTAGTAATAAAAGGTAAAAAGAGAACTGGGGTTGCGAGTCAATAGTGAAGTATTTGTGTGCTTTGCCTAAGGCCCTAAGTTCAATCACCAATACCTAAAATAGTAGAAGAGGGAAAACAGTAAGGATATTGGAGTGTTATTTGGAGGAGTGTAAGATATAGGATGGATATATTCTAAGCTAGACTATGAACTGTACATAGGCAGGAAATTGGTTCATAGCTATGTCCAAATCATGTGAGTTCTTCCTAGTATAACAAAAGCACTCAAAAATTGCCTGCTAAAATTATATTTGATACCCTTAAATCTCAGTTTTTCTTGAGGGAGCTACTTATATATATTAAGGCTGGTAGGGTGTGGCATTGGTTGGATAAACAGCTTCTCCCCTCTCTATTCCTTAATTTTTTATTAATCTATGACTGTACCTTTGCCATGTATTCAAATAAACACATTTATTACTTGATACCCAGTGCATAAACTTTTTTCCCCATAAAATTGGCCAAGTTTTACAGTGCTATATAAGTGACAGGGTTACTTTAAAAAATTTACCATCTGGAAGACAAACCCTCCCCGCCTCCCCGCAAAGTAAACTGAGTGCTGGAAAAAATATTCTGAGCTTACTTCCAGTAACTCAATGTATTTTAAACATTAATATGATACTTTATTGATGAAAATATTGATTATTGCCAGGGTTATAAAGTTGCAGCAATATTTGTTTAGTCTGTTAATTGAAGTAAATAAGTAGAGTCATGAGGAAGTGTAGGTAGGCTTGAAATGAATATTATCTGGAAAGTTATTAACAAAACTATTTTAAAAGCTGAAATCATAAATACCAGATACAGAAAACATAATTTTCTGCAGAGACTATATCTTGGTTGAAAACTCATGTTTACTCCAAGGATTTATCTGAAATGTGAGAAGATGGGATGTCTGGAGAGATGCCATATGCATTCCGACTCTTCAAAACACGATCCTGTAGATGACCGTGTGTTTCCCTCTCTGATGTGTTCCCTTGCTTCCATTCTTGCTACAGAGTGGGCTCACATCCTTACACCTTGCAGCCCAAGAAGATAAAGTGAACGTTGCTGACATTCTCACCAAACACGGGGCTGACCAGGATGCCTACACAAAGGTACAGCAGATCTCTTGACGGTGTTGTCACCAGTTCTGGTTTGGCTGATTCTTGGTTGGCCTCATTCAGGTCAGCTCATGCCCGAGGACTCTCTTCTTAAAAGTTCATTCTCAAGTATAAACCGCATGCTTCCCCGTGTCTGCTAGAATCAGACTGGAGTTGAGAAAGTGGCCTCTGGACTCAGTCTAAGACTCTAGTTCTACAGGTTGTTGCCCACCCTCTGACTTCTGCTTTAGCTCCTACATCTGCCTCACTGTTCTGGCTCTGTCCTTGATCATCTTGAGGGGGATTGGTTCTCTCTGTGCTATTGTTTTCTTATCCATTCTTTTTGCTATTGTTTTAGTGTCACTTATTACTTATATAATGAGTTGTTTTTGCTCCTTCATTCCCGGGCTCATCCCTTCCCTCTCCCACCAGCGCCCTTCTCAACATGCCTCTCCCCCACCCTCCAGCTTGCCTGCCTTCTTTTTATGTAAGGGCGAATGGGTTTAACTAGATTTACTAATCTGAACCTAGGTGGGAAGTCATTCCATGGAGTGAGGGCAGTTTTTCTATAGCTACACTACTGAAGACAGTGACATTGCTCCCCAAACAGGTGTTAATTGCTAATAGCCCCTCTGGGAGGGACGGAGCCTCATGGGCTCCCTCTCTCGTTCAGATAAAATATTGATGGGCCCAATCTTGTGCAAGTTTTGTGCCACTTAAGCAGCCTCAGTGAGTTTATGAGTGCAATGTGTCTATCATGGCCAATGTGTATGTCATCTCTTTACTGCACATCTTCCTATCCTTCCCTTCTTCCTTCCACATTTCACTCATCCCACCTGCTTCTACTAGAGTCTTCTCCTTCCCATTGACATGTCCTATCATTTTGCAATTCTCAGTTCTTTTAGCTAAGTTAAGTCACCTGTGTGTCTTATCTCCCTTGCTGATGTAAAGTTCTGCGTGGTTAGGGACTGCTTGTCCTATATTTGCATCCCAAAGATGCCATGTGCAATAATTGAAACCTTACCTTTGTTGATTAACTACTAGCCGTATAACACTTGTACTTTGGGATCTGTCGTTGCAGCTTGGTTACACTCCTTTAATCGTGGCCTGTCACTATGGGAATGTGAAAATGGTCAACTTTCTTCTGAAGCAGGGAGCAAATGTCAATGCAAAAACCAAGGTAAAATATATACTCATTTTCCTTCTTGACAATCAAACTTATCCTGCCAAGGGTACAGTCAGGACACTACTGTAGCTGCAAGTTGCTTTTGGGTTAAGTTTAATTTTGCTTTCTAGTTCTTCTGAACTAACTTTGAAGAAGCAGTGTAGTTTTCTGATTGTTTAGGGCTTTCCACTCTGATAACCTTTGATGGCCATGGAGGTCAGCTTCAGAATTGCATGTGTTATAAAGTTAAAACAGATTTGGCTTAGCAATTTATTGCAGGAAACAGTTGATCCTCAGAGTTCATCCTGAAGCCCTGCCAGACTTCCTCTATTGTGTTTTAGGCCCTTGGCCCTGTCCCCCAGCTCCACATCTCCTCCTCTGGAAAAACAGACTTGCACAGCCCACACTGTATATATCCCATTTTAAATAAACTATCTCTTTGGGAACCTCAAGTGGTAATGCTTATCAACAAAAGTGTGAAATGACTGAGTTGTAGTTCCGCAGGGATAACTCAGAGGTGGCACGTCCCTAACAGTTCTGCACAAAGAAGGTCAAAGGTCCTATTAGACAAAGCAGGTCTGAATATCACCACCCATCTCAGAGCACACAGATTGATCCAAGTCCAAGAGAAAAGCATGGTGGAACTGGTGCTCTTCACTGTTACAAAGAATTGTGGGCTTAGTGTATTTGAGTTCACACATCAGGAAGACCTGCCACAGCTCAGATGCATCAGCGCAAGCACATTCAGGGGTTTCAGAGCCATCATTTCAAGATGACACTAATTAGAAATGATTACAAGATTTTTTGTAAATGTTTCTTTTTCTGTTTTCCAAAAAGCAGAAACGATATCAGTTTTGTGCAAAAGCATGTTCAAAAAGATAATATGAAACACACTTGTTTTGTGATCTATCAATAGTATTATAGCACTTAAGATTCAAACTTGTGAGCTTGCCCTACGATGGCTGTTGTGTATTTTCTGACCTACACAATTCTGAGACACTTTCATTTGGTGCTTACGGAAGAGCTTCCCTGTGGCTCCTCAACCTTTATTTAGTTCCTAGCACTCTTTTGGTTGAGCCAGCTCATACACATAGTCACGACCAACTGAGATGTACAAATGCACCATGCAATGAGACACTGGCAGTACAAGCAAAGGTTTACGTGGTATCAGTGAGTGTTTGCCCACTGAGATGGTCTTAACACTTAGATGCCCAACACTGTATTGTGTTGTTTGTGCTTCTGTGGAATTAGATCTGTACATTTTGTTACAAGAAAAACAGAATCTCATTTCCACATTTTAGGGATTTCTTTTAGGTGAACTATATAATTTTAATGTGACCTTTGGGACCATATATTTCAGGGCAGAAGGCAGATGCATGTCTTAATAGGCAATCTGTTAGTAAGTTCTTCAGAGTTTTTCCTTTGCAGAAGGAATTATTATTTACTTCCTGATGTTTTATGTGTAACCATGGTTACTAAAGAATTGTTTAACTGCTTTTAGAATGCAAACATGTGTCCCGCCTCTACTCCTTAGCTACTCATAAAACTTGACATAAAAATTAAGAAATGTAAACTTTAAAAAATGAAATCATTTTTTTTTGTTTAGAATTATAGTGAAACCCTGTCGTATTAGATTGAAACAAACTGGACCTACAGGGAATCGACTTGTGAAAAGGATTTAAACTCTATACAAAATAGAAATTTCTTTGATTAGACACAATGAAAGGTGCAGATTGTCTACGATGAAATGGCATCTTGCTAGTATTTTCACATAATTAACATGAGCTACACATGAACTATACATATCTTCATGGAAAACGTATTTGGTCCTTCTTGAAGCATACACCTTCAGCCATCTCTGTTTTACAATGAGAGAAATGGAAATGTGAGGGATTTGGAGCCTTGCTCATCCATAGTAGAAGGGGTAGATTGAGGCTGGTGTGCCAGCCAGCTGGAAAGTCACAGAAACCTCAAGCCAATGTCAATGTAAAGTTATAGCCCTGCTCAATCTTCTGTTGACTATTCTCACTCATCACAACTTCAGGTAAATGTTAGATTAAATCATACCTGGGGTCATTTTCCAGACCATAGGGGGTCAGTCCATGAGAGCTCGATTTAATATGGTCTACAGTGGGGTCAGACTTTTAATTAACTATGACTAATTATATTTGGCATGATTTTTGTAGGTAATTTATCTTTTAAACTATATTAATATATATTAGTTTAGTGTACAGAATGTTATTTATATACTAAAGTATTTAGCACATAGCATAGTTAGTGAATGCTTGAGTGATAATAAAGAAGTAAGGTAAATTTTATTATAAATAAAATGGAAAGGAAGAATTTTTAGGAAAATAAATATCATTTAGTTTATCCTTCTTAAATGTCTATGGATTGCCTGATTTGAGAGCAGGCAGGGTCTTATAATAACTATAGGTTTCTAAGAGTCTTTTTAAATCGACTGCATTTTCAGGGCATCAGATTTATTTTATTGTAGAGAATCTATAGCAGCTGTCAGACTCCTAACATGACAGAGTCAGGAACACCTGGACAGAAAGATATCCATACATGATGTCATTCCCATACACAGAAAGGCCGTTGTGACTGTCTAGAAGGGGTCTTATGACACTCACGAATATAATCAGACAATTTTGTAGTCAAAATGACCAAATATGCTTGTTGGTCATGCATCTACTCTGACACTGCATGAAATGTACACACTTTAATAATATGCATATTCTTTTAATCATGATATATATACATATATACTACCCAGAAGTTACAGCTAGATGCAGTGGGCTCTGATAGAGATAAATATTTTTTTTTGCAGACAGTTGTGAAGTAGCCACTGGTTTCCATGATCTTCTGCATAGAAACTAAACCTAGAGTGATTGTGGAGAAATAGGTTAACCCTGTTATTTTCAGTGGCATCATTTCTGAAATGGGGAGAAAAATAGTCATTTATGAATCATTTGTTTACTATTCATTTAGTCAAGTATTATTTACAAAATACCCTTTTTAGACTAGGCACTGTAAGCCATTTCTGAGTGACAATGAAAATTGAAAGAGACAACACTCTAAGGTCCAGCATCCAGTACAGAATGAATGCTTAGGGAATGACTCCCGTTCCACCGTCAAGGGTTCCAGTAGAAGTTTTGAGTTAATATGAATACGTAACTAATTAGTGCCACCCCTGTTGACTACAGTTCTGCACAAGACTGGCCTCAAACTAATCCTAACAGCAATTCCTCCCAAGTCAGGGGCATTCTTCTCCATGAAAGTTTTGATCACACTGTCAAAATTCTAGTTTTTAAAGACACATTTTCTTGGGGCAGGGCATTGAACTTCCAATTTAGTTTGCTATTCTAAAGTTTACACATACAGCCTTCTAGAACCAAAGCCATCTCCTGAGTTAAGCATGAGATTAAATATAGATGAGATTCTCTTTCATCTTTATAGATCATCTAAAGCTAGCTTCAAGGGTTGTTAAGATGGTCATGACTAATAGTGGCCTGTGACCCTCGGCAGCCTTCAGTTAAACACCAACTTACCCTTCATCTTTCCTAAGGAAATGGATCACAGCTCTGTCTCTTTTCCATTTTTAATCTTCTCTCCGTTTAAACATTTTAAATGTCAATTGGTTAAAATATAATAACAGTTATAAATTGAGTCTGTTTATTTTATTGTTTCATAATCTAGTCTCTCCTTGTTTAGTCCGCCATAAGGTGTGAGGGAGTGTTTGTTGCTGAGAAATGGGTTGCTGGGAAAATTGTGCTCCAAATAAACAATGAGGTGCTTGATGGGTTTGCTGTAACTAAGACAAGTGAACTAAAGTTGAAGGCTAACCTAATTTTCTCCTCCCTCTGCAAATCGGTGCTATCATGATCCACAGAATGGCTACACACCTTTGCACCAAGCTGCCCAACAGGGCCACACACACATCATTAATGTCCTGCTCCAGCACGGGGCCAAGCCAAATGCCACCACTGCGGTAAGGAGGCCTGTGGCCCTTCCCTGTACTTGCCCTGCTGTCCTGTTTGTTGTCAGAGATGAAGTGTGATACATCCTCCTTAAACAAACTCCCAGACAGTGGAAAGCCCCAGATTTCTGGAAAAACCTTTCTAGAAGTCTGTGATTTCTGGGGAGTGCTTGCCGGGAAGGAAGTCAGTTGGGTCTCTGGGGAGTGGGGCCCTCCACTTGGGCTGCTGGAAGGGCTTTGCTTACAGCTGGCTCTCAGATGTGAGCGCATATTCACCCTTCCCTCCCTGTCTTCTTAAGGGAGCCGGTTTCTGAGTGTTGGCTTAGAACTGCCTCATTGGGACATGGAGCCATTGAAATGTAAACTAAGCGGTGTAATTAAACAAACGGGGTCCCCAGTGGCCTGGGCTGGAGGCGGCTGGAATTGCTGGCTTGTGTAGTTCTTGCAGTACTGGAGCTCCTGCAGAGCAGAAGCTAAATCTGTCACTGGGTCCCTATGGTAACATTTTACCTGCGGCAGATGGCCTGACCCTTGGTGAGCAAAGAATGTAGCAGGTTCTCCCTAGTAGTTTTGGCAGACACCAGTCCTCAGTTCCAGAGGTGGCTTTAGAAGGCTGGGGCAGCATTTGGAGCTGCTTGACAACCTCAGGGTTAAAGCATCAAGTGCTTATTCAAAAGAGCAGGCAGATGCAAGCTTGTTGTGTTACCATGGTGACCTGGGCTATAGTCTAAAGAAGTTACAAAGACAGATTTAGATGTAATGGTAAAAACTAGTGATTTTCCCGAGCTGTGCCTTGTTTTGGAAGGAAGTGCTGGCTCATGCCGAGCCCCGGGTGAGCTCATTGGCTCGCAAGGCAGTCCTCCCTAGCCTTTCTCACTCTTTCCTTCTTTCTCTCTCTTCAGAATGGTAACACAGCCTTGGCGATTGCTAAGCGGCTGGGCTACATCTCTGTGGTTGACACCCTGAAGGTTGTGACGGAGGAGGTCACCACCACCACCACGGTGAGTACTGATGACTGACCTGCTCCTGTCCTCTTGGTTTTCCCGCCACATACTTTTCGCTCAGTGTTTGCAGCTTCCGTGAACTTCTTTTGCTGAATGCATTGTAGAACAGACTCAGGAATATGCAGCTACGAATGTGTTTACCAATGGAAACAGGGTTTCTGTCTTTAACTCAGTATAATTCCCAAATAAAATATACGAATGCAGCCTTCTAGCTATAGAAAAGTACCTTTTCCTTGTGAGTTTCTTTTCTGGCTCCCCTGCCTCTGTCCTCTAGCTGTGTGTGACACCTACTGCTGGCAGAAAGGTACCACATTCTGCAGCCAACCTGAACTTGGCCTAGAGGCCAGGCAGCTTGTCAAAAGAGCCCCTGGCTAAGTCAAATGCACTTCTATAGACAGCAGAGCATCCTAAAATTTTCTTTCCCTTCTTATGTTTGATGATTTTGTAGAATAAAAAGAAAATCGCAGGTGTTCAGTGTATGCCTAAAGTCCTTTATTTCTACTGCTTTGAAATGCCTGCTTATTCTTGAGGAGAGACCAGTGATAGTTATTGGTCTTTGCCAGAGGAGGTCCCAAGAGCAAACTCTGACAGAGGCTTTCTAATCTCTGCAGAGGCTCCAGGGAGGAGTCTTTAAACTTTAATTTAAGCACGAGTTCTCCGAACAATGGCTTTTAAAATTTATCTTTATAAAGCAGAGAAACAACAAAACCTGAGATGTTCTATGGAAACAATAAAACCACAAACCAACGAATAAAGTACACGAAATAAGATAGGTTCTGGTGAATTCTCCCAAGCTAGAACTGCTACATGCAGTATTTGGGAACACTTGATTCTTTCAATAGAGGGGATCGAAAGGAAAGGAATTTTGTTTCATGGGCTAGTGGAAAGTCCCCGTTGACAGCCATTGAGGTAGACGGGGTGCAGTTGATGTGACATGCAGTTTTAAATAGAGTGGAGTATGAATAATTAATGAGCTGCACAATATCGACTGCACTTTTCGATGGGAGCCAGCTGCACAGCTCCTTTTCTAAGCAGAGCCATCCTCTTTAGCCAGCACACACAGTAGATTTAAAGATATAAAGTATAGATTTGATAAATTATATATGAGAAAAGGTCTTGTCAAAGTTTACCACCCTATTTACAGGTCATTATATAAGGTCATGACCTTTTTTTAAAAGAAAAAGTAAAACTATATTTTATTTAAATATTTTTAATCAATTCATGAAAAGTGCCCATGTGTCTGCAATGTCTTGAGATTTGATGGCATATATTTCCATTATATGTTACTCAAATGAAGATAAATGTGTCTATCCCTTCAAACCTTCATTTCCCTGTGGTCAGAATATTGAAAATCTTTCTGTATGACTGAATCTTTAAAAAAAATAGTGGGATTTTTGTTTTAACAGGAAAAGTTTTAGTGTGAAGACCTACACAGCTATGCCACCTCAGAATAGCATGTACATCACAAAGAAACAAAGGTTTTAGTGACAAGATTGACTCTGAGCCTGTGTGTTGTCTGTCTTGGGTTTTGTTAACTTTAATACTTTTTCCACACTGGGAACCATGGATCTGTACTTTTATAGAATTGCCACTAGATGGCATGCTTGTGGATCCTTTCCTCTCCTGGCCCTACTTTCCTCTTGTTCATTTTTACTGAAGGAAAGGTGTGTGAGGCCTCTGTGCTACATGCCAAAGAGCATCACTGGTCCAAACAGCTCTTCTGCATAAGCGTATCGGTACGGGAGAAGAGAGTTACGGCCCACAGGAAATCTCATTCTGTTTTTGTACATCAATAGCACTGTGAAACTTCCATATCTCATTTCTAAGACTTCCAGTGCATAAATATGGATTAGAGCAAATGATTTTAAACACAAAGATCTGTATTTTAAAACCGAGGCAACTAGCACTTCTTAATTTGTTTCTAAACATTCTAATTACTAGACTTGGAAATGGCTTAGGGGCTAACATATTTGCAAGGCAAGTGTGAGAACCTAAGTTTGGACCCCCAGAACCACGTGACAGTAACCCTGCACATTTGCAATTGTGGTCATCCTGTGGTAAGATCGGAGGTGGCAGCAGGAAAATTCCCGGAAGCTGGAGGGCCAGCTAGCATGGACTTCCCAGCAGCAAAAATAAGATGCTATCTCAAAGCAAGGTGGAAAGAGTGACAACCCTAGGCTCTTCCCCAACCTTCACACATATGTCTTGCTGTGTATGTTGTGCATTCACACAGGTGAAACACACACACACACACACACACACACACACACACACACAGAGAGAGAGAGAGAGAGAGAGAGAGAGAGAGATTTTTAAATATCCTATTTGCCATCTTTAAGTAAGATTGCAGAGACTTGTCAGAAACCAGATATACAGGTAGGGTATGGAAGATCTTATCCCTGACAGCTCTAATACAGAACAACTGTTTCAGAACATTTTGTGAGTCTTTGTTTTTTTAATTATTTATATTTCATTATAATTTATTCATTGCTATGTTGTTATTTATGTTCATTTTAAAGCAGAACATTATTTGAAAAATAAATCACCATATTTAGAATTCAAATTTCTAGGTGAAAAACTGATAAGCCATAAATAACACATAGAATGTCAGATTTCAGCTAGAGTATGACATTCACAGTAAATAAACCACCACCCTCCACAATCCCCTTTATCCACAAGGATAGTGATAGTGGTGTCAGGGGTTGTTGTTGTTTTGTTTATATTTTGCTTGCATGTGTCTATGCTGGGTGCTCACAAAGGGCATCAGATCCCCTGGAACTGGAGTTACAGACAGTTGTCCATTACGTGGGTGCTGGGAATTGGACCCAGACCCTCTGGAAGAGCAGCCAGTGCTCTTAACCACTGGACCATTTCTCTATCTCAATGGCTACATGTTTTGATTCTGCTTTATCTTTATTTTCTGGTTCTCCTAATTGGCTCCTCATAGAGTTGTGAGTTTGTTTTGAGACATGGAATTTGGGGATAAAAAGTATGGCTGCATTCTCTTTCAGCATGGAAGTCTTCATGTAGTATGCTTCCCTTTGGGAAGTGATGTTCAATCATTCCTTTTCCCCATGTTTTCTTTTCTCCATAGGGTACTATTTGTGATATCTCAAATAATTCATATGTAAGCTTAGTAAAGTGTTGGCTCTGGAGGACAAATCTGGAATTCAGTTTAAACTGCTGGATGGCAAAGCCCACTTTCCTAACCATACCAATGTAATTAATCTTGGCTTTGCTGAAAAGTAGCTTAACCAGAATTTTGTGAAAGAATGACTCCTGCCTAGGTTTCAACAAAAAATACCACACAAGAAAGTATACTTTATTGATTTCAGTGGGTATGTCCTATTTAATGTCATTTTCTAAAGTTTACTGATTAACCAAAACAAACAAACAAAAAACAAACAAATAAAAGCCAGTGCTATGGTGATAGCAAGCAGAGCAAGGCATTTTATAATGAGGCAAAGGGAATAAATGTCACCTGAGGAAGTTTACCATTAAACGCAGCTTTGAGTTCTAGCTACACAAGTGAGGGATTCATTTCCCATCATTGCATTTACAGGGTGTGCCACTTGTGCAACCACGTGAGTTCTCTTGAAGAAAAGAAACTTCTTTCCCAAGTTCTTTACCCCAAAGCGTGAATGAAGGCATTGTGAAGGAGCAGATCTAGATAGTAAGGGAGAGAGAGGCTGGTGCAGCTGAGATTGCCCACACACTGTGGGATCATGCCTTGTTTCCTTAACCTTGGCTTTCCTAATTTTACACTGAGAGATGCAGCAAGGGAGGCGAGACAGTTCAGCATTGTCTTAGATGAAGTCTCTGTGCTTACCAGAGCGACATCACAGAACTGGGGGCTTATTCCCAACAGTAAGAGCCTATAGCTCTACTCTCCTAAGATTGGACAAACTTTGAAAAATGATTCATTCTTCTACCTGTCAATCTGCTGTCATCAGCTAATTTCTTATTATTGGTGTAATTATAATGTAATGTATTATGTAGCAAATAATCATTGCTAAGAAGAACATAAATTACTTAATAAATTACCCAGAATTACCATACACAAATCATTTTAGATATACTATCCTTTACTCATTAGGAAGGTTTTTTTTTTAAGTCATAAAGGGAAATGTAAATTCTAAGTCCTAAATTTGATTTGATACCATGTCTGTTAAAGGAATCATCAACATGAAAATGCAATGAATACAGATAATTTCATTTGACACTGTCTGGCCATCATTTCTTTCTGTGAATATAGTTCTGTGATCAGATGGCTAAATTGTCATCTTGGAACAAGCACCATCAATATTCACTGTGTGTGCATGTGCTTTATAACACCTAGTTAAACCTTACTGGGGCTGAAGAGATAGCCTAGTGGTTAGTACTTGCTACCCACATGGCAATTCATAATTACCTATAGTCCCAGTTCTAGTGGATCTGAAACCCTCTTTTTGCCTACATAGGCTCCAGGCATGCATGGAGTGTAAATATGTACACGAAAGCAAACATTCCTAACACATTGTAAACAAACTTTTAAAGAAGTTTCATATAACATTGATGCATTCTGTGTGTTTTCTTAAAGAAACATATGGAGTACAGAACCCTTAAATTTTTCTGATATATAGTTTTTCAAATCATTTATAATTGTCTCACTCACGCTTAATTGGGTAGCCATATATGTTGTGTGTGAGGGGGACATATCTTTGTTGAAACTTCCGGGTACTTACCTTTGTTTTTACAGGAAAAAAAAACAATTACACATTTAAAGATTTATCTAGTCATGAAAGTTATATTGACAAATATGATGGACATTAAAAAACAAACACAAAACAAGAGTAGCCTGCAACTGCCCTGGTGACCAAAGGGTGAGGGTGTTGAAAGGTGATAGGATGGCCAAGATCATTTGGCTGTGCTATGATGGCTTGGGAAGTGTGTGAATAAAGGGAGCAATTGGCTGGGGTGTGTGTGACTAAGTGGGGTCAGTTAAGCACACAGTCCCCCACATACAGGGAAAACCAGATATTATCCACTCTTTCTAAAACATCATGATAAAAGCTTATATTTAATTTTCTATGCTTTCCCATATCATGATGAATAACTCATTGTCTGACTTAATTATATCCCATTAATCGTGTGCATATTCCTTATTTTAACTTTTAAAGTAGTTTCTGATCTTGACCATGACATCTTAGATTCTACAGCAGAAAGAGAAGAGCATGCACTTTGAATTATAGCTTAGTTCTCCACATATTGTTCAAATGTAGTTGTTCAAAAAATGTTTTAGTAACCTAATATCTTAATGTTCTTTCATTTTAAAAGAGAATTGTGTATTTTATCTAATTACATCCTTTGTGAGTAGGAAGATCTGTTTGTTATGCATTTAACGATGCCCTGTGTAAATTGGGCATATATGTGGGAGGCACCTACTCTTCTTCAGGTTCTGTGGTAACACTCTACCTCTGGAACAGCAGCCTCCACCCCTCTGTGGGAGGTAGAGAAATAGATGATCCATACAGAGTTGTATGCAATATATGCAACAGTTAAATAAATAAATTTATTGTTGGAACATCAGGAAGTATTTCTCTGTGGAAAGCACATCTGATAGTCCAAAGAAAAGTTTTTGATAGAGATAGGACTATGTAGAAAATCTCCACAGCATAAGAGGCAGGGCCCATGTGACATTGAAACAAACCACCCAGCATGAGGTTAGCAGGGACCTGACAATAAGGCCTTCAGGCCTGTCCATGTTTGCTACCTCACAATAGGTCTTCTGAGCCACTTTATTTAATTTTGTTCTGAAAATAAGCAAAGCAAGTCCACTAAAGAAGTGTTGGTTAAAGACTTGTGCATTTCCATGCTCTGACTGAATCAGTCTAGTTGCTCTTAGCACAAATCTATTATATCCATTTATAGCTACTTGGTATATGGCAACCTGTGGAAAATCTCTTCTGCTTTGTGAAAGAGTCTGTGATAGTCATTGCACTCATTGAAATAAGTCTTTATTATCTGTAAAGCAAAGCGCAGCACTCTGGACAACCTACTCATGGTGCTTTGGTATTCTAGTTGAAGATTTACCTCTTATGTCAAAAGTTTAGTCTTTTAATGTTCCCACAACTGCCAACTGGAACACTAAATACACTTTAAATGTAGGAATTAGAGTTATAAATTTGAAACTCAATCAGCTTTAGGTAATGTTTAAAGCTATGAGGTTTCTTTATTTGTACATGTGTTTCATTTTTTAAATTGATACAATGGTACATATTTATGGTGGGCAGCGTGGTGATTTGAGATGCATACACATTGTGAACATAGCTAAGTGAACTAATTAATTCACCGCCACGTCATGCACTTTTCATTTGTGAGTGGATGTGATGAGAATACCTAACTTTTGCTAGAAAATGTCAAATATACTGGGGCTAGGGGTGCAGGTCAGTTAATACAGACCTTTCTTAGCATGCACAGGGCCCTGGGCTCAACCTCCAGTACCTCTTAAACAAGCTATGGTGGTGCACAGCTGGAATCCAGGCACTTGGGAGGTGATGACAGAAGGGCTGAAGTACAGGGCTGTCCATGCGCACAGCAAGTTTGAGTTTGAGATGAGCCTGGGGTCCATGACACTGTCTTAAAAACAACAGAGAAAAGAAAGTTTCAAGTGCACAATCTCCTGCCATATTGTGTGATCATCACGGTGCCATGTATTTATTGCACTTCTTCCCCCTTTGACTGACATTTTGTATCCATTGAGAACCAGACCATTTCCCCCTCGCCTGGCTCAGCCACTAGTAACCATGCTTTTGCTGTCTGTTTGTATGATTTGGACTTTTAAACAATTTCACAGATTAGTGAAATCGTATGATATTTGTCTCTCTGTGTCTGACTTTTTTTCATTTTGAAAATCACCGTGGTGTATTTGGGGTATAATTATCATGCTGTTCCATTCTGTACAAGTGATTCAAAAAAGTCCTGAGGCCCCTCCTTCCTAAGATGAACGTAATTTTCAATTACGACCATCAGTTATTCCAGCCGAAACTTACTGAGTCCTATCCTATTCCAAGGACTGTTCTCAGAGCTCTCGTATTAATATCCCTAACAATTTTATGAAACATTAGTTTGTGGTGTTTCAACAAGGAAACTGAAGCATAGCTAGGTTCAAGGACTTGCTGAGGCCTTGCAGCTAAGATGAGTCTAGAATTATAAGCCAAGCAGCCAGATGAGCCTGGTCTCTCATCCTTTTTACTCTATCAGGAATGAAATCATTGGATTTTGCCCCTTGGGAGCACTGGAGAAGGCCAATAAGCAGTAAACCATAACTGTAGACTGTGAATATTATAAAGATGACTAACTCTCTACTTCTGGTCCTCTAACCCATGACAAAACATATCACATATAATTTATGTGACCTATATTATTTACAGCATCTTTTTATTGGCTTTGTTTTTAGTACATTGCGAGAGAATTACTTCATTGTAAAGTTTTTTTTTTTTTTTTTCTGGAAACATCACTTAGTTCATGTTAAAGACGTCTTGAAGACATTAGTTTACTTTTTCAATATGACTAATTACTCATGCCATTACCAGAAACTTCATTTTTCAAATGGGAACTAACTGTAATGAATTTTCTCTTGTACAATGTTCATTGGTCTTTTATCTTCAGAAAGAACAAAGGGGATTTCACGAAAGAGTAAGTTTCTAAAGCTTCCGCATGGATAAGATGGGATGGTTGAGGTCCCATAACTTGCTGCTAAGGTAGATTGGCACCTCTGTAACTTCATTCATGTTTTGTTTGATTTTATTTTTAACTTTGCAATGAATGCTTTTTGTTTTTCCAGACTATCACGGAAAAACACAAGCTAAATGTTCCTGAAACGATGACGGAGGTGCTTGATGTTTCTGATGAAGAGGGTAAGTAATAGTTTCTGCAGTCTTTGTGACAGCTGTCAAGTTCTTCCACAAGGAAACCAAAGTTTTCTTAGGGCTAAAGGTGGTAGTATAGATGACAGCATCCTAATATTTAAAGCTCAGTCACCAATTGTAGTGTACAGTATTTATTCCTGCCATTGAAGAAGTAGGCAAGTCAGGTCTACCTAGTTTTCCCCATTGTTATCTTTAATCTCTAATAACTAGTAAGACTAAGAAATGTATATATATATATATATATATATATATATATATATATATTAATTATATACCAATACATTTCATATTCAAATGCCTTGAAAGGCTTTTAAACATTCTTCATTAGAGGTATATTAAGAAATCTCTGTTGTCTGATTAGTTCAAGTGTACAGAATACATATATATATCAAACCCAGAAAAAAAAAGTCTTGGAAAATTCATTAAAGAACCTCAGCACAAAATAGTACAGTCCTAACACAATAAATCATTCTTAATGCCAGGAAAGATCAGCACTTTGACGATGGTTTTAGAGTTGAGGAACATTATCTAGTCTGGTAGTCCTCAACCTTCCTAATGCTATGACCCTGTAGTCCAGTTCTTCATGCTGTGGTGATCCTCAACCCTAAAATTAATTTATTGCTACTTTACAACAGTAATTTTGCTACTGTTATGAATTATAGTGTAAATATGTGATAAGCAGTATTTCTGATATGTGACTGATAAAGGAGTTGTAACCCAAAAGTTGAGAACTGCTCATTTAAACAGTGGATTGCAAAGTCCTGAAAAAGAATTTCTAAAAAAATGTGCTAGGCTCTCCTAGGGGTAGAGGTAAGAAGCCATCTTGAGACAGAAAGTTTCCTTTTTTTTTTTTTTTAACCTCCCCAGTGACTTTTCTTTGTTCCATATTTTTAATTTCCCTGCATTGTTTCTCCTGAGTAAAAACAAAACAAAACAACAAAAACTACTACCCTAAGATCACAGAAGTGCCACACACAGTATACAAGCTTCAATAGCAAAACCAGCATGTGAGATTTAAAAATTTATTGCCATATATATGTACAAGGAAAATTCAGTCATATCTTTACAAAATCATTGCCACAAAGGTGCTGCTGGGCCTGATAGTAATAGTCTCTATAGAAATGATTAAATATGTTTTTAGGTTTTTTGGCATGCAATCTCAAGACAAAGCTTTACATTCTTCAGTCTTATTTGGAACCAGTTTGTTTTGTTATTGGCAATAGGCACTGAGCTCTGTCAGTCTGCATAAGAATTATGACAAGAATGAACAAATGTTGGATCAATGTATGATGATGAGTTATTTTAAAAGTATTGCCAAATGCTGTAATTCTGAGTAATTATTATAAGTCTGAGCTGTGTTCTGCCAGCTGAGTTTGAGCATACTTATATGCACACCATATTTCGGTGGGATTTTATTTTTCATTTTCATTCATATGTTGTGCAGCTCTTAAGCAGTTTGGTGACCACTTTATTGATGGGGAAACGCTTAGTGATTCAGGTACCATTTAAGGGACTCAGAGTGATTGCTTTTCTTTGCTTTTCATTTTTCTTAACTACATAGAAGCAACCCATTAATCCTTAAATCTTTGTGCTTGATACTAATGTTTCTTTTGAAACAGCTTGTGTAATATAGGTAGAATTATGCATGTGTGCATTTGATGTGTGCATTTTATTAACTTGTAAGTTTAAAGCCACAATTTGCTTATTCTGGTAATAATTTAGCAACTATTATGGAGACCAACATTATAAGAATATTTTTCCAGATAAATATCTTTGTTTTTTAGGATAGAGATTTTGAGGAAAAGTAATTCTTTGATAAGTTAACATTAAAGTAAGCATGGCATATTGGTTACTAATTTATTAGTTCCAGTCTATACCTTCAGTCAAGACTGCTTGAGGTGAATGCTCACATTACCCTTCTAAGATGAGGCAAAGATATATTCACTTAGAAGCCAGGTATGTTAGCATGTACCTTTAGTTATGATTACTCAGGAGACAGAAGCAGGATGTTAACTTGAGAGGAGACATTAAAGTGAGCCTGGGCTGGGTATGGTGGCACATACCTTTAGTCCCAATACACAGGTGGCAGAGGCAGGTAGCTCTCTGTGAGTTCAAGGCGAACCTGATCTAAGTAGTGAGTTCCAGGACAGCTAGGGCTATGCTATGTGGAGAGAATCTGTCTTTTAAAAAAAAGTCAGCCTTAGCAATGCATTGAAACCCTCTCTTAAAAACAAATATATAATTAGGAGTTATAATGTGATTGATTTTTTAAAAGATAGTCAAGAGTAGAGGTAAGTTATTATGATTAAGAATGATCTTTAAATAGCATTTAGTGAGGGGATGGCTGGTGGGAGAATATTGTCCAGTGTTTAAGTGTTCCCGGCACTCATGAAAGGCAGCTCACAAACACCTATAACTCCAGCTCCAGTGGATCTTATGCTGTCTTCTGGTCTCTGTGGGCAACTATATACACTTACACACACTTACACACACACACACACACACACACACACACACACACACAGAGCACACACTCACACACACGCACACACTTACACACACACAAATAAAAACAAAATACATATTTTTAAAAGTCATTCAGTGTGAATTTGGTGTTTAGGGGACAATGAATGAATGACATAAAACATTCTATGTGATATGCAGTTTCCAGAGATGATGTGGTATCTCTTCATAGCAAGCTTATTACATGAAAACTCAGTTTATAAATTAGATGCATTTGATTTCAAAACAGATCACTATTTTTAAAATAATTGGTAAAGGACTTATTACCTAATGCAACTAAAGTGTTTACTGTAGAATTTCTAGAAACTTCATTTGTAAGACTCTCATGTCTGCCTAATATATAAAATGAGATGTAGATATATAACTTTTAAAATCAAAATTGCTAAACAGTGACATTTGCCAGTGGTTAAAAAAGAACTCTTGATTTGATAGGAATATTGATTATTGAATAAGAGCACTTTGTGATAAGAATAATGTTTTAGTTTTACTAATAGCCAAAAATATAACAACTTTCTATTACCAGCAGAGAATTCAAGTACAGTGATTTTTATATAAATGATATATTTGAATTGTGAAAAAAGCTTTTTATGCAAAGGGTCAGTACAGCATTAGTTGACCTACCGTGCTAACTCTTTAACATTTTGTTCAGTAAATGTTTTCGTGGAACCTGCTATCATCCACATGGACATAGTGCAGTCACATATGTTTAGAAGGTGTTAGCCCATCCCCATTCTCTATAGAATCTACTGGTGGTAACCATGTACAAATACCAAAGGGTATTCATAAGATGGGTTTAGATGCCTGCTCCAACTAACTTGATATGTGCTAAAGCCATTGGTGTTATCCTCCCTTGAATCCAAAGCACAGCTGGTGAATGTGCTGTCATAATAAGAAGAGTTCTATAATTCACATTATGGGGGAATTAAAGGCAAACACAGGGTCTGCCTTCATACATGGAAAGTAATGCATGAAGAGCTGAAAGTGAAGGTACAATACCATCAGTGTTCATATCTAGAATCGGGGCCATCCACACAATCTTATGTATTTTCCAAAAAGCGAGAGATTAATCAGAGGGTGTACCAGGTTTTAAGAAGTAGAGAAAGATCAATACAGGGATCTTAATGTAGGAAAGTGCAGCAGAGTGATAATGAGTGGAAAAATAATTCAGTTATTCTGTTGCATAACAACTTTGGGTTTAGTTTCGAAGGGTCTGAATTTTTAGCTGAGTCTAGAGAAATTGGAATATCATAAAGGTTTCAGTTAATGATTAAAAAAATCTGCTTTTTTGAATATTAATCCAGTTGTGGTCCACAGAAAGAGGGTGTTTTATTGGGAACTGGAAGAACTCATGTATCTGAGAGTAGAGAAAGCACTCACAGAGAATGGTGGCAAGTGCAAATGGCTTATCTTTGAGATTCATCCATCAGTTAGTGAACAGCTCAAGTATGCATCTCCACAAGTGCCCTGGATCTGCATGATCTATCGAACATGAGAACTTCAGAATGGCAGAGGGTTGAGAAGAAAAACTGGGAAACAAGTTTCATCTCTTACATGCTCACTTTTGTGAGCACTTAGCCTCCTTCTCATTGCAGCTCTCCCCATATTTCGGTAGAAAGGGCAAGGGCTCAATGATATTTCAGAAAGTCTCTTTATCTGAGCTTTACAGAGGTTATCACCATAGTTAATCCACACCATTTAGCCTTAATTTATCCCCAGGTTTTTAATGTCTGTGTTGGTAACTAAAATCAATCTTACTGTAAAAAAAAAAAAAAAAACACTGCAGTATGAGCCCAGTGGTGATGGCACATGCCTTTAATACCAGCACTTGGGAAGTAGAGGCAGATGGATCTCTATGAGTTTGAAAGCAGCCTGGTTTACAAAGCAAGTTCCAGGACAGGGTTGTTATACAGAGAAACCGGATCTCAAAACCAAAACAAAAACCCAACAACAAAAAACAAAACTACAGTATGCTGATGCCTGACAATTAGTGGGAAGGAGCTACCCAAAATGTGTCTGGAAAAACTGTAGAATATGCCGGGCATTGGTGGCACACGCCTTTAATCCCAGCACTCGAGAGGCAGAGGCAGGTGGATCTCTGTGAGTTTGAGGCCAGCCTGGTCTCCAGAGTGAGTGCCAGGATAGGCTCCAAAGCTACACAGAGAAACCCTGTCTCAAAAAAACAAAACAAAAACAAAAACAAACAAAAAAAACCCTGTAGAATACAACAAAAGTGACCTCATTAATCTGAGATTCATCATTTTATTAAATGAATACATCTGTAATTTAGGAAGACATTGTTCCAAGTACAGGAAACTCACATTAAGTTTGTTATATGATGCAGGAAACTAGTTGTGTTTGACCCTTCTACATCAGATATGTTAATAATAGAAAGTATGTCACTGTACAATTATTCTGTAATAGCTAAATTATGCAGAATAGACTGTCTGGGGCTAGAGAAATGGCTCAGCAGTTAACAGCACTTAACCACTTACAGAAGACCTGGGTTTGGTTCCCAGTACCCACATGGTGGTTCACCACCATCCCTAAACCTACTTTGGCCGGATCCAGCAGGCACATATGTACACACACATGGATACAGGCAAAATAGTCACACCCAAAGAATAAATAAATAAAGTAAATATAAGAAAGACCCTCATCTCTCCCATCTCCGTCACTAAAAGCATGGAGACAGCTGCACTACTCGCCATAGAGAGAGTTTGTGGAGAAGCATGTTGATAGGGGGTGAAGTAGACAAGGAAGAGATGCTTACGGAAAACTCAGGCGCAGGATTCTTAGAGGGGATTGAAATATGGATGTGCAGTTTGACCAGGATCTGAGATGGACCCAGTTGTGAACACCTTATATATAGTATATGAAGTCTTTGAATTTTAATAATATATGGCAAATGGGACATAACAGGGGTCATGTAGGAATGGCATTTCAGACAAGAGAGCGTGAGAAGAAACACTCAAAGTAATAGGAAAAGGGCCCAAAGAGATTTCTGTCAGAGATATCATGGAAGATTGCTTTTTCAAAGAAGTCAACTCTTGGTCACTGTTTAATTACTAAAATCAATTAATAATAGCAAGGGTCTCTTTAATTAGTTTGATTACAAAGGGAAGAGGAGACCAAGTATGATGTAGAATAGGGCTTAGTGTTTACTAGAGGGAGGGAGAGTCCTTCATGAGATTGGTGGCAGAGGAAGATTATAGATGAGGGTCTAGACCAGGCTGACAAGAAGATGGGGGGCATAGGGTTCTAGAAATGGAGATAAACAAGCATGAACTCCCTCTACTTCTCCTGATACACGCTTTCCACCACTCAGTGTTGATAGGTAATACTGAACAATAGTATTTTTGGTGCAAATATTTGGAGAGAAATTGCATATAATATCAAGATTTGGCCAGAGACAAGTACCCCTCCTATTAACAGTATCAGATGAGATTCTAGATAGTGTGACTATCACTAGGGACTTTGGGTCACAGTCACAATCTATTCCTAAGGCTCACTATGGGTGTATCCAAAACTCTGAAGCCTCACTTTTAATTAACCGAGCATAGCAACTGCTGGAGGCATATCACAACAGAACAGTGGCAGGGGTATCACACACACACACACACACACACACACACACACACACACACACACACACACAATCAGAAGGCAGAGAATTGGGGAGAATATTAAGGACAGACACTATTTCATGAGCTTAAAGTGATCAGAGGGTTTCAAATAGTGCCTTGGCCTGTCACTAGAGTTTTTAAAAGGATATATTTTATTTTAAATATACTGTCCAGACAGCTTGTTCTCTATTTGTAACACAATTCCATCACCAGAAGAGAGGAAGGTTAGAAATGTGTTCATTCCCAGGTTCTGCCAGATCATCTGTAGTTTACTTACTGCCCTGGTCTGTCAGGGTGGAATTTTCCAGCTAGACTCTGCCTTCCCTCCTCTATCTTTTCCTTCCACTTTTATGAACCTTCTGCTTCCCACCAAGACAAAACAAGAAAGAGGTTGAGTAAGAAAATCTAAAATGTGGGCCCTGTTTTATTATGAAGCATTGAGAAATTTGAAGGCATAAGTAATAGATACTTATTTTGAGTCTAACTTTGTTCCCTGTGACCACCTTGGGATCAGAACTGGAAACAGGAGAAACAGGTTAGCATTTGAAAACTAACTGACCCAGCAGGTGGATGCAGGGTGCCCCAATTTGGGTAGTAGTAGGGACTTAAGCCAAGTTCGCTTGTATTGGAACTTCTGAGTGGGGTCAGGGAAGAGGGGAAAGAGGAAGCATGCAAGCCAACTTTTGAGTGTTAGGTGATGTTTGGCTTCTTGCTCCAGTGATACATAAGATGCAGCTCTTGTTATGTAATAGATCTTGCATTTGACATTCCCATCACCCTTTTCACACATGAAAATGGGTCACAGACTGTCTTCCCAGATGTTAATAAAACTCTCTAAAACAGATTAGGCTCATGCCCAAGCCAGAGCATGCCAAGATTTTAGTAGTCCTGTTCTTAGAATTTATTTTTACTTTTGTGCTCTTTTGCTATTGTATATATTTAATCTTATAAAATATTATTATCGTATTTGTGACCAGCAACATGATTTAGCAGGTAAATTGCTTTCTGCTAAGCCTGACAAACTGAACTAAATCCTAGCTCTCACACAATGGAAGCAGAGACCATGTTCCTCTGATATCCTTTTCATGTGTACACACACACACACACACACAGAGGCACACAAACACACAGATACATACACACAAACACACTAACACACACATACACAATATATAAATAAAATTAAAACCTCTCATTTATTATAGAAAAATATACGTTTCTTAGCCTACTGTCAATGGCACAAAGAGACTATTAGTACTGGATTTTGTGCAGAATTATTGAAGGTACTGAGAGAATTCTAATAGTCTACACATTTGGCTAATCTTTAAGCTGAACTAGTCATCATATGACAGACATAATAAAGAAAACCCTTTCAAGGTAGCCAAACAATTACAATTCAGAGAATTGTTTCTTCTTGGTGCATTGTAGGGCAATGAATCAAATACTATCTCTATTAGCTTTAGCCCTTTGTAGACATATGCATGAACCCTGTTTCTTCCTGCTGTGCAGTGTTTTGCTGTTATCCAAGATGCTGTATGAATGCCCTTCATAATTATGGGCATATTTTGTTGCTGGTATGAAATTCAACAAGTAACTTCCTTCACTCTCCTCTGATTGCCTTAAGGTGATGACACAATGACAGGCGATGGGGGGGAATACCTTAGGCCTGAAGATCTCAAAGAACTCGGTGATGACTCACTACCCAGCAGTCAGTTCCTGGATGGCATGAACTACCTTCGGTACAGCCTGGAGGGAGGGAGATCTGACAGGTATTCACCAACCTTCCATTGAATGTCAGACACAAGTGCTCACAACACATTTAAAAAAATGTTTCCCTCTTTTCTCTTTTTCTTTTGGTTTTTAGAGATAAGGTCTCACTGTGTAGCCCAGAATGGCTTTCTCAGATGAGTCTCAAACTCCTGACCCTCCTATTCCTAGCTTCCTGAGTGTTGGGCATGCATTATAGGCAGGTACACTATGTACCACTATGCCTGGCTGACCACTTCCTTTTTTATGGAGATTAAAAAATGTAGACATGGTTATAGAACACTTATGGGTAGTTTACCACATTTGCCAGTTAACATGTTATCGCCTTCATTTCTCTGATATTTTAAGTAGTGCCCATTTTGAAGGACTGGAAACTAGTTCAGAGACACCAAACAATATAGTACAATCATCCAACTGCTACGAAACTGGACAAAGACAAACAGGAGTCACTGCCTTCCCAAGTGATGTATTTATCAGCTGCCACATTGTTCTCTAGGGAAATTCTACGCACAGTTTTGCCTGGCCGATATGTTTAACATCTCCAGATACCCTTAAGTCTAACTTAACTATTGGTGCTGTTATTTCTGTGTGAACAAAATTATGAAGAATAATAGAAAAACAAGTGCAGAGGGAAACTGCTCTGGAGTTAATGTTTTCATTTAAAAAAAGAAGATAGGATCTTATGAGGTGATCTGTGCCCATAAGGACCTGACTATTTATAGACAAATGTGAAGAGCCTTTCTCATATTCTGCACTGTGAGATTCAAGGTACTCTTGGCTATTACTAGCTAATACACCTGGTGCTTGGTACTCTCAACAGCAAGATGAATAAGAATATTCTGGGTATTTCTTCAGAAGTATGGCTGCCAGCCTGGGTCACATATATGCCTGTCCATGTTGCTGTAATGTCTTTCCCATCAACAGTCACATGCTCATAGGACAAAGCTCACTCTTTTGTTGGCTATGTTATGAATTTCCCATGTTTACAGCTTAAGGAATTATCAATTCTACATTGATAATATACAAAAGCAAGCTACTTGGAGGCTTTTCCCTTAAGCACCAGAATTCCTTCTCTCTTTTTTCCCCCCTCTTGCCTTTTTCTTCACTTTTTTCTTTCTTTTTTTTTTTTTTACTGTGGTAAGTTAATTCTTGAGCTGTGCATTCTGGTAAGTCCCAGAGGTACCAACCTGATTAAAATATGTTCACTGAATTCACCGCCTAAGAGAGACCCTGAAAGGCCAGGATGGAAGAGCACAGAGCGCCTCTGCAGGGCTGAGGCTTGATCTTCCTGACAGATAGAAGCTCAAACACAGGAAGAATGCATAGCAGTGATGCTAGGGAAGACAGGGATACTTAACTGTGGGGGCAGCAAAGCTTACATTATCGGTGGCACACTGGTGCCTTGGGCTGGAGTGGGAGTGTGAAGGGAGGGAGCTGTACCTGGATTTTATAAGAATCCCTCTACAGAGGACCATTCTAGTGCCCACTGGACTAGACCACCCAGCTGCTTAGTGCTGTTTGCTGGGTGATTATGCAACTATGAAACTCTAACCCTGGGCTAGTCGTGGAAAGAATCCAGCAGTGACAATTTTGAAACGGGCAGTGAGATTTGTTGGTTAGTTTTATGGAGCATTTGAAAACGAAGGGAGGTGACTCCCTGCTATTGGTGGCTTAGATAGTAGGTGACCCTTAGGGTCAGCGTAAGAAAGGAGGAGCCTGTGGGGGGTTTGGGGGGAAAGGTGACTGAGCCTGTGTTCCACACATCAAATTCTTGTCCACTGACAGATTTCGATTTATAATCTGAGATTCTTAAAAGACTATGTTTTAACAATAAAAAAACTTCTCTGTAGCTTTGTGTGAATTCACGATAGTGTGCACTTGATTATGTTCAACCAAGGAACAATTCATTTTCATCAGTTTCTAATTATTAAAAAAATACCTGATTCAGTCACATTTCCTTTTTTTCAAACTAAGATTGGAGAATGGTAGTGTACTTTTTATAGAATAAGGAGGTGGATGGTTTGAAATTTACCAGCATATAAAGATGGAGGCTAGAAGCAAACATTACATGCTATGTTTTTAGGGTTCCACCTGCATCTCTTGGCCACCACATGTACACACTAGCCCAAAACAGAGTATGGACAGCATCTCATTTTCATGTTTATTAATTACTATTTCACTTTTGCTTGAGCAATTTGGCACACCACTTTTTTTGGTAACCATTCTCCTTTTCATTATTTCTTTATTTGGTATGCTGTCAGTAGTACCATCCCCAGGTAGGTATTACATGGCATGAAACCATGGCCTTCCTGTACACACACGCATTTCCCTGCTTCACTGCTCACTGCGTATGTATGCACGTGCATCCATGTGTGCGTATGTGTGTGTGTGTGTGTTGGCCAGAATTGCTTACATCTTGGAATTATGGATTTTTTTCCCCTTTGATCTAAATTCAGTAACTGCTGGAGTTAGTCTGTTACTGGAACCACAGTGCCAGGAGATCCAGGCTTAACTCTGACTGTTACAGTGCCACCTTGTGGCTGAAGACACAGAGGCATGGTTTCTCCCATACAAACTAAACAACCTACGTATATATGCACTTGGAGAAGCTAGAGAAAATATTCTGTTGCCTGAAACAAGCATGTACAAATTAATGCATACTGAACAAAAACACAGTCAAATTACAATCAGCTAGCTTTTAGTTCATTTATTATTATTATTGCTTACAGGTTAAAAATACTGTCCAAATTCAAATATAAAACCCCAAGTAACCAAAAAATCACAGAAGCTTCTTCAGCACACTGAACATTTTGTGCATTTACTTGTTCAACAGGGCTTCAAACTCTATAAGTTGAATGTCTAATAAATTTTATAGTTTAGTAAGATATTAATTATTACATTTATTCAAACCCATAAATTATATGAAAGGAGGAAAGTGTGAATTGAGTCTTTCCTTGTATCTATAGCTGCTAATCCCTCAACTGAACAAGTAAAATTTAATTTCTCTGGATATATTATTCTCTGTGTATTAAGTGAACAGGAGTCCCTGCTCCCCAACATAATTTTTTAATGGTAACTCTGCTATAAAACATTAGAACTTTTTCGTAATGTTTTCCACCAAATGTGGACAGTTCATGACTCAGAAACTCAAATTATTCCAAAAGTTTTTTCTTGTTATTATTTTACCAGAGAGAATTATGTCTCTGCTGTTAGAATATCTCAGCAATATTTTCTCAGGGTGAAAAGAACAGTTAGGAAACATAAAGTTTGATTCACTATCCAGTTAGCATTTCCCTACAGTCAGCAGAGAAAGCACCATAGGATCCTCAAAGAAATGAACACTCAGATAGTGGTCTTGCCCATTGTCTCTTTTGCAATCACCTTTTGTGGCTAAGTTGTCTTTTTTCCTTGTTAGCTGTTTAAGCAAGATGAAAATGAATAAAAACCACCAGATTCTCTCTCTACCTTCTCTATATCAATTCAGTCGAGAGACAGACCCAGTATTCAGGAAGATGGCAATCACAAACTCACCTTCATCACTGGTGCTAACTGTGGGATGGGATATGACACTTAGGGCCCATAAGCTTTTTCATATCATGCTCTTCAGGCAGACCTGCCAATTAGTCATTGTCACTCCAGTGGTCACTGAGACCCAGTGCCTTCTGTCAAAGTTTAGGTATAATACAATTCTGACAGCTTTGTCACAGGTTTTATGTGGAATACCTTTATTACCACTGTTTATTCCCATCAGTATACATTTTCATTTTAAACCAGAATTTCTTCTCTACTTAGGGTGCATTAAAAGGTTAATTTTTCCTAGCAAAAGAGCTGGCCTTTTGAATCAAGTGTTCTTCTTACCTGGTTCACATCTTTTGCAGTATGAATTCACATACAGCTAGCATCTTTATTATGAAAAGTTATAGTCTAAACATTTAGATTATACAACCATGGCTAGACATTATATACCTAATAAATCTGGGCCCAGCTGAAGACGCTCGATGGGAAAGGTGATGGAGTAGACACTGTTGTTTCGTGAGGTTGGCCCTCTGCCTTTGGCCAAAGTCAAAACAAAATAAAGAATAGAATTTAAGTACTACTGGTGGACTGCTGCTGGGTACAAAACACACTCAAATGTATCTCTGCTTCCTCTGGGTTACAGCAAGGAATAGCAACATTTTATTCCACTAGTGGGAGTACACTTTTGTTACATTAAAAGATTATCATCCTTATTATTGAATTTCTGTCTCAGCCTAAATTCAAGATCTCATTAAGACCCCATCAAAAGCCAACTCCACAGCCACAAAGCCAGCTGTAGTATCAGTTGCTGCCTCTTGCTAGGGCTCAAACTTCTGCTGATTAATTGCAAGGCATCCAGGCTACCTGTGCCCTGTGTTAAGACTCTCAATCTACCCCAAAAGCCTGTAAAACTGTAGATAGCTGAGTTCAAATTATATTTTGATTTTATTTCATTATAAACATATAGATTTATGTAGGGAAGAGCTTATACAGCCAATAATCAATTTCTTTTTGTCGTATCACTTACTGTCTAAATGTGAGGTTCTGAAAACCTACTACTGACAAAACATGGGAAAATGTCACCATAAAGAATCCTTCATGTAATAATGTTTTCAAATAGCTGGTTTTCATTGACACCTCATGTTTATCAGAGAGCGTGAGTAACAAAATTTGATGCATTTTCAAGACTAAGGTGTTTCTACTAATCTACATGCTAATTTTCTATTTAATAAACTTAATGTTAGTATTTCATTCAGTCCATAATTCTACAGTGCTTCATTGATCAATATCTACTAGGCTTGCTTATCCTTTGTGTTACCCATTTGTGGTTTTTGGCTGGCAGTTTGAATGCAAACTGTTAATTCCTGGGCTATGCATAAAAATCTTCATATGACACATTATTTCAAATATCAATCTGTAAGCTAATCGTGGTAGCTCAGACCTGTAACTTCAGCCCTCAGGAAACTGAGGCAAGTGTTCAAGGACATTCTGGGCTACATAGTGAGTTCCAGACTAGCCTGGATGACACAGAAAGACCCTGTCTCAGGAAAATAAAAGGGATAACACCAAAATAATGTCCTTTGATTGTACATATTGAATAGAATGAGTGCAATTTTTGCCCATTGCATTTGAATCTGCAATTAGGAATAACAAAATTCAGATTTATCAAAAATATAAGGTGTTACTTTTGGTGTCTGTTGGCAGTTTGTCTTTGTGTTAGTGTGTATCTGTTTTGGGCTGGTGCTGAGTTCCTCTGCTCTTGCCTCTCATCCCCATGGCAACCAACACTCTTTAGAGCTTCCTGCACTACACACAGGGCATACAAAAGGGACACTGCCCTCCTCTGAAATAACAGCATTGTTGGACTCTCCAGAGATAAACAAGAGGAACTCCACTTCCACAGGAACCACACATCTGGCTCCAGTTCATTTCACTCTGTACCTTCCAGGGGAGGACACTGACATTCAGCCATTCCCCGTGTGGAAAGGAAGAGGAAGGGGCATGGGAAGAGAATAGAAAATAAAGGGCAAAAACTGAAACCTGCCTTTTCGTTCTACTTTTGCTCTCCGGCCGCTGTCTTCCTTCCATCAGATATTTTTTCCCACGGCTGCAGGGAGGTTATTTAGCAAGGATTTCAGAATTATTACCTGTATAAATTTCTTCTGCTGGCAAATAAAAGACAGTTGCTGGTTTCAAACATTTCTGGAAAGGCAACAAATCAGATTAAGAGTATCAAATTTACCTTGTGGGTTCCCTTGTGCCCTTGCCTTTCACTGTTCAGCCAGTCTGAGGATGCGTTTTTAGCTGTTGGGTGGAGGCGTAGGGCCACTCTGAGACCTGTGTCCCCTGGAAGTTGCACTGTTAGCTAATAGCACGCTTTTTTCACTCTCCTGCTCGGCTCATTTCATCTTCCCAATCCTCCACCGCTGTTGGTTTATGATCATGACCTCCTGCCAACCTACCAGCCTCCGGTCCTTCAGTTCTGACAGGTCTCACACTCTGAGCCATGCTTCGTACCTGAGGGACAGTGCCATGATTGATGACACGGTTGTGATTCCTGGCCACCAGGTATGTGACTTTCTGCCTTCATGACTGCTTTCTGGATAACTTTTTCAAATGTCCTCATACCACAAATATCCCGAGGAAACCTGGTGGGGGTGGGAGTCCAGAGGGAGAAAGAAATAGAGAATGACAGAAACCTAAATTTATTCTTAACAACAAAAAAAAAATTTAGGGTGAGAGATTTGACGGTGCCCTACAATATGACAAATGTTCACTAGATTTTTCACTGAGCATTGCCCCCTACCCTCTAAATAATATACTGTTTCTTTTTTTGGCCATACTTTCTTCAGCCATAGTTCCTCTATGGAGATTTTCTACAAAGATTTGTGTTGTGTAACTAATATCTCCATTATGAGATAAAAATGACCCAGGCATATTTACATGATGAATGGTACCTTGCAAAGTACATTTTGTTGCAATATTTAAAGTAGCTATGAGAAAAGGCTTTAAGTTTACTTTGGAACCTTTAATTTTAGGTATAATTTTATTGCTCGTGATGGATTTGATATAGGGAAATGGATGAACAGGGGCTCTCTTCAAAGTACTCTGCTGTCATAATATAATTCAGGAGGGAATTATAGAAGAGATAATTTCATGGTGTTTTTAGACAAAAATTTCTGTCATAGCACCTCTTGTTTTTGTGCTCTTTCAGAACTCACTGTATTTTAGTTGAGTTTTGAAGCTTGTTTTCCATTAAATCTGATGTATGGATTTGATATAGGGAAATGGATGAACAGGGGCTCTCTTCAAAGTACTTTGCTGTCATAATATAATTCAGGAGGGAATGCATTAGAAGAGATAATTTCATCGTGTTTTTAGACAAAAATTTCTGTCATAGCACCTCTTGTTTTGTGCTCTTTCAGAACTCACTGTATTTTAGTTGAATTTTGAAGCTGTGTTTTCCATTAAATCTGATGCTCTTTGTGTGTAGGTTTTAGATATAGAAAAGGA